TATCTTTGAGGGTGTTAGGTGGTATCTCATTGTTGTTTTAATTTGCTTTTCTCTTATGGCTAAAGATCAGGAACATTTTCTCATATGTTTATTGGCCATTTGGGTTTCTTTGGTTAGGTTTGCTAGTGGTCTGTCAATTCTGTTAATCCTTTCAAAGAACCAACTTTCAGCTGCATTAATTTTTTCCATAGTTTTCTTGTTTTCCCTCTCATGAATCTCAGCCCTTATTTTTATCATTTATTTTCTTTTCCTAATACTAGGATTGTCCTGTCTACTTTGCTCTAATTGCTGTAAGTTTTCTGTCAGCATAGCAATCATACGTCTCTCTTCCTTTTTTATGTGTGCATGTATTGCTATCAAACTTCCTCTGATAATGCCCTGGCTGTGTTCCAAAGGTTTTGGTACATCATATTCTCATTCTCATTGGTTTCTAGAAACTTCCTAATTTCATCTCTGATCTGGGTCAGTACCCACTACTTTTGCAACAGAGAATTATTCATCCTCCAATTGTTCCCCCTTGTCTTCATAATTGTAGTTTTGTTGATTTCCAGCCTTATGCCTTAGTGATCGGAGAGAGAAGTCTGTGTGATCTCTATGCTTGAATTTACATAGATTTGACTTGTGTGCCAGCATGTGGTCTTTCTTCGAGTATGTACCGTGTGGGCTTGAAAAGAATTATGAGTTATTTTGCATTTGGGTGGAGAGCTCTGAAAATATCTATCAGGTCAATTCGTCTAATTGTAATGTTTAGATCTGTAGCCTCCTTGTTAAGCTTCTTACCCTGTGTTCTATTTTTCTCAGTAAGTGGGGTATTAAAGTCATTTACTATAATTGTTGAGCCTGTGATTTCTTTTTTCATCTTTTGGAGTGTTTGATGGATTTTGCGGGTCTCTCATTAATTGCGTATATATTTATTTTGCTCACTGGTTTCTGGTCTGTTCATTGAGCATTATATAGTGCCCTCTTTATAGCTTATTATGGCTTTCACTTTAGATAAATTTTGTTTGATGTTAGGATTGCAACCCCTGCTTTTTTTGAATTGCCATTTGCTTGCTACATTTTCTCCAGCCTTTGATTCTCAGCCTAATTTTGTCTGTCATCTTGAGGATGTGTCTCTTGTAGGCAGCAGATCAATGGGTTGTTTTCTAAGCCAGTCTGCTAGCCTCTTCCTTTTAATGCCTGAGTTCAGTCCATTGATATTCAGGGTTATTACATCTACCTGTGGACTCTTTGATGTCATCTTGTACCTTTTAAAATTATTTTTT